TGAATCAGATCTGTCCTGCTGGGAGGTTAGGGGAGCCAGCTGCTTCGACAGCTGAAAGAGCAGGTACTCAGCTCCACGCTTGGGCTGGAGGACTGCCAGGGAGATGCAGACAGCCTTAACACTTTGATTCACTGCAGAGGCTCTGTAAATATTGTCAGGGGTACAGGGAAAACACCCAAAGCTGCTTGGCCTTTGTGAAGACCTCCGTGCCACCAGCAGCGTCGCAGGTCCTGCTGTAAGCGGAAAAGAACGGTACAATAAAGCTCTACGCTTACCACTTCTCTGCTGTTCGCAGGGATTCCTCTCGTCTTCCAGGGAAGAGCTTTTTGTTGCTGGGTGACAGGGAGGGAACTGCTCGGAAGTGAGATACGGGTGATTCACTGCAGGCTGCTGGGAACGGCATAGAATTGCTGTCACTGCAGGTTTACCTACCGCAGGCTCATAAAAATCCCATCAGGAGCAATATAGGGAGAGCTGATCCCATGGGGTGGCCGAGGGGATCTCCGAAGGCCTCCACCAGCTCTCCCACACTGAGATTTCCCTTTCAAAGATTCTGTAAACCTCATTAAGCACACAGAAATGGACTTTAAGAGACGAAGCTCTGGGAGCCACCTGCAACACAGCAGAACTTCCCAGAGGGAAGCAAGAGCATGCATTGAGCACCCTCCCTTTAGTTTCGTGAACAGGTGAAAACAACCATCTCAGGCTGGGAGTGGCAGGCAGGCTGGGGCTAATTAATCAGGGCAGCACGATCTCCTGACAGCTGATGTGCTGGGAAGGTCAAGAGCTTTCCCCACCTCACTGCAGCTGAAGTCAGAGAGTCCCCCACCTACAAAACACAATGCCAAATATCTTTTGCTTTGGTGGCTGCATTGGCCTCTGTGGAAAGTTAATTGTATCTATTTGATATACAGACACGCCACGGCGTTTATCAAGGGGCTTTTTCATTCATTTATTCAGAATCACAGAATCACAGCATGGTAGGGGTTGGCATGGACCTCTGTGGATCATCTAGTCCAACTCCCCTGCCGAAGCAGGGTCACCCAGAGCAGGCTGCACAGCACTGCGTCCAGGCGGGGCTGGAATATCTCCAGAGAAGGAGACTCCACAGCCTCCCTGGGCAGCCTGGGCCAGGGCTCCGTCACCCTCAGAGGGAAGAAGTTCTTCCTCATGTTCAGACGGAA